CAAGGAAATTTAATGGTAGTTAGTTTTTTTCTGATAAGTACAAAGTTCAATGCACCGAGTGAAACCAGTCATTATCGTCTAGACATGGTTTCTTTTCTCACCTGGAGCACAGGGTGTTGGTTTTGCACTCCCCTCAGGGCAGTAATGGCCTGCAGGACAGACATCACCGTGGAAGTGACTGGGGTTTGAATTGGCAGAAGGATCTGATGGAGTGGAGAGGTCTGAAACTAAGACGGCAGACTTATGTAAGACGTCTTCTCCAATTAGGCTGGAAATATAAATTGAAATCCTGCAGACGTCTCTCTAATCCAAGGACAGAAAGTAGTGCAAAGACGAAGCAGAGGCGTCTGATAAAGATCTGCCCGTCTCTGTGCTACTACAGTATAAGTCATGAGGAAAGAGACTGCAGCCTTTTTATGCTACAAATAAAGCGTCTACCTGTGAGGTTAGCCAACGGTTTGGCCACTGTAGATCCTCCTGTGCAGTAGAAGCCAGGGTCACAAGGCCCTGATGGGGATGAAAGGCCAACTGCAGCACAGTAATGACCCGGCAAACATGGCTGACACGTTTCTTTGGAAATGGCCCCTGATAGGAAAAAAAAGAAATTCAATTTTCAAAAAGATGAAAACAACATTAACCAAGATAATTTGTTTCTCTCAAATATCACGGACATCTTAATAATTTGTTGTCACCTTCTGTGGAGCTGAGAGTGCCGGTCTGGCAGGGAACCATATAGGCAGTGCCCTGGGGGCAATAGAACCCAGGAGAACAACGTCGTCCTGCTGGTCCTTCTTCAGGCTCTGCAGAAACAGAGCCTCGCCTGCAGAGGTAACTGGAGGGTAGAAAAGATAAGGACAATGGAGAGTGTGTTTTGTGTGCAGTGATAGATGAGAACGGGAGAAGCGCAGATAAGGTTCAGAGGGAAGTATAATTATAGAAATAAAATTGAGAGACAAACAGGATGTAATGTCTCCCACAGTCTGCCATGAAGTGTCTATTCATTTTGTCCATGTTTACCCGGGGGAGCAGACTCCGGTTGGAGCAGCCAGTCCAGGGGAGGCGCAGTAGCTCCCTGCAGGACACGGCTCACAGTCTGACTTAGTGGACAACCCCATCTGCCGACCGAAGGCACCAGCTGGGCATGGAAATGCAACTCCAGACTGCGCTCCTGTAAATTAATAGCTTACAATGCCTACAGATGGTGGTGGCCTTGAAAAAAGTAGAGCATTATGTAAATAAAAAGGGGAATCTCGAATGTACTCCACCATGGCCATGTACAAACTACATCAGTGGGGACATATTAATGCCATTCCTCCCTGATCTCTAAATAAATGTTGGTAACATAACAGACAGTCCAGAGCCACAAATATGGAAACCAACCAACACTTGTTTGTTTATATCCAACAGTAGAAATATGTGCCTTTGTTGTTTTTAATGGGTCATTCTTTCTGTCCTACCTGTTGGACAATAATGTCCTTTAGGACACAGTACAGGAGTCTGAGTCCCCAACATTTGCCCAGTGTCATCATCCACTAACCCAGGGCAGTAAAATCTTGCAGGGCATTTCGCACATTCTGCCTAGAGGGAGATAAAACATACAAACCTATGACAGTAGGAGTTCACAGATAAAGATTTTTGGGTTGACAAAGAAAATGACAACATTATTGCTGCATAGGTAGAGACAAAAAAGAGAGCTGTTGTAATACTAAAGAAATGTATATTGAATAGTTGACAATAAAAGTGCTTGGAATAAAGGGAATATTTTTATATTTATTTTTTATAATTTCATACAGAATCGAGATAATAACAACAAAGGTCTTTTGTAGGAGTGTCTCAAAGGTTAGGAAGATGAAGGTGTTTTCTTTTTTACATTGAGTTTGATGAAGACTAATGTTGATAGAGGTGATGGAGGATAGAAGGGTGAAAACTGGTTTGTACTGGTTTGATAAGGTCAAGATGTTCTGAGCTCCAGGATATAAACAAAGGAAAGAAGAACTGTCAACGGTCGCAAATGAATGTGAAATTGTATCTTTGCATCACAAGTCATGAGCTCTGTATGTTCAGTAAAGCTTCAGCTTCAGATGAGGTTCAGACGTCAGTCATGAGGTTAGATATCAATGGTTCTATTGATTAGCATGAGTTTAGATGCAGTTCAGTGAGAAGAAAAATCTGTATAACAGCATTCTTCACCTGTCCTGGTCGATCCTGGTACGTCCCTGGGGGGCAGGGCACCTCGCTGTCTGACCCAGCAGGGCACATGTTTCCAGGTGAGCAGGGAATGGAAGCCTGCTGGCTGCTGCTGTTGTCTCTGCCTGTACAGTAAGAACCAGCTGGGCAGATATGAGAAGGAGAAGAGAGCCCTCTGCTGACGCACAGAAAACCTACAAATGAAGCGTAGTTATTATAGTCTACAGCCTCAGTCATTACAGAGGGTAATGGACCTTTCTTGGGTGTAGTTAGGTAATGGGTTATTAAACCTGTTAGTGATAAAAACACACAACCACAGACTTATATGCACAACCTGGAGGACACGGCAGACAGTCGGAGACATGACCATTCCTGGTTGTGTTGCTGTAATACCCCAAGGGACAGGGCAGTGGCACTGAGGAGCCCTGGGGACAGAAATGACCAACAGGACACCGGTCACCTGTCGCCCCTCCATCTTCGGGTGAGGAGGACCAAGAGCCAGAGATGCAAAAGTATCCTGCATTACACTGGCCTGATGCAACTCCCATCCCAGGGGAGGCACAGAAGGAGCCTGGTTTGGGAGGAGAGGAGGCGGTAACAGGAATGAAGTGACAGGGAAAATGACTCCAACAGAGACTGATTCACAAGCACTGAACGTTCTATGAATTTCAGATGAGAGAAGAAACAAAGCTGAATATTAACGTTCCGTCACAGTTTTCTTGATGACACCTGCTGTTAAAGGCTACATACTTATTCTAGTGACACAACTGGTTATGGAATTAACCACTATTTATGGTCAAGGACATTCTAAAGCTTCAGTCAACAACCTAATCTAGAGGAGGTCCAAATTCATTAGCAGTAAATGGTGTGTGACCTGGAGGGCAGGGCAGACAGTCCTGGGGTGTTGCCATCTGAGTGTGAGGGTTGATGGATCCAGATGGACACGGGTACTGGTGTTTGGACCAGGTCCCGGATGGACAGTAATGACCCACTGGACATTCATTAGTGACTGATGAAGAGCCATTATCACTGGCAGGACAATAAAATCTGTCCAGACCAAAACAGAGAAGAGGGGGTTTGGGAGTGTTTATATATTTGTGCAGTACAAGGAACAAGTAATATATAAATATCCCAAACAGTACTATACCAGTTCACAGCATAAATTATTAAGTGTTGATGTTGCAGAGTGTGTGGCCTGTAAGTGATTCTTACCCCTGGGGACAGGCTCTGCAGCTGGCTTGGCCATCGTCTGTGCTGATAGTTCCCTGGGGGCAAAGCTGAGGAGTCGCAGATCCTTCAGAACAGTAATAACCTGGTGGTGTACAGACAGGAGTCACGACAGAGCCAAGCCAACACAGTGGCACCACGGGAGACAGGGTTCAATTGCTCAAGTCAACATAACAGCTGCTCGTGCAAAGCTCTGTTACTCCGGAAAAGTGTTTTGTTGAGTTTGCATTGAGCTGGTCTTCATTTTCATTATGTACACACACACACACACACATATATGTATATATATATATATGAATATATAATCCTAATCCCTTAGAAAACTCTTTTTCAAAGAAAAAATAAATAAATAAAATATGCCAACCTTTGGGGCAGGGTCCTCCTCCACTGTCTCTAAACGGGGGATCAGGACGATCTGCACCTCCCAGACAAAAGAAACCTTTCCAACATTTTCCTGATGGCTCTGAAAGGCCCATAGTGTGACAATAGTAACCAGGGAGACATGGCTGGCAATCCTCCTGAGGTAGGAAACAAGCAAGACAATGGCAGGGAGGGAGGAGAGAGAGAGAGAGAGAGAGAGTGGGGGGGGAGATAAAAGCAGAGAGGCTGTTATTAAATGAAGAAGAGAGTGGGCCTCGTCGACATATTGGTTTGGGACTAAATATTCATTAGCTGATAAGAGAGGCACCATTGTAAGGTACAGTTACGGTTATGTCTGTGTTACGTATATGTGGAGAGGTCAGTCAGGGATTCTGTACATTGAGTACTATACAGATGAAGGTGATTATTATGTAACGCATTATGTAACTGTAGAGCAAATGTAGTATGTAGAGTGAATTTCATGATTAGTGAGGCACATCCATGCTTCATCAAAAATGGATTTTCTTCCCCCCAAGAACACCAGCTTTGTCATTTAAATTCAACAGTAGAGTTATTCTGAAGGAGGGCAGATATTTTTCTCAATTATTGTCAAAGAAACTCCAGAGAGGCTCCAACCTGGGAGATTGATTCTGTGAGGTTAGAGAATGCTCCACGTGGACAGGGCCGAGGATAGATGGTGGCCAGGGGGCAGTAATGACCGACAGGACACGGTCCTCCGTTTCCTGATGATACACAGAAACGCAGCTGTCATTTGACTTTTTTTTTTTTACAATAGAAAAAAAAATCTTAAAGACTGTGGCGATGCAAAGATGACTCTACAATCCTTGGTGCATGTTAAGAAAATATATAAAGTACTGCATATATGTGTTTACCTGCATCCTGTAGTGCAGGCCGTGGAGAAGTGTTTCCATGTGAACAGTAATACCCTGCCTGACATGGTCCAGTGACAGCTGTACCATTTCTGGAAGAACAGTAATGGCCACCGTCACACTGCCTGCACTGAGAGACAGACCAGTAGCCTGGATCTGGACCGTAGGTTCCCTCTGGACAGCTCCTCAAGTCAAAGCCACTTCCCTCGGGGCAGTAAAACCCTGCATGTCGCACAAGAACATGTAGAAATGTGACGTCACATTTTGGTATAAATGCTGGTGAACTAGGGCTGCATGTGAGGAAGAATGGACAAAATTCAAGTTAACAAGAATAAAGTCGTATATGTATGAGAAAATATGAGAAATGTTGTCAGTTTGGACAAATAACATCTGAACCTAGGTCCTTATTTGTTTCGTCAGTGCAGCCCTCATACTGCTTCACTGTGTTCTGTTTTAATTCACCTGTATTTGAATGACTATTTTTCAGTTTTATTTCCTAACACTGAAGAACCACCAACCTGCAGGACACAGGTACAGAGTACCAGACACGCAGTACCAGCCTGGCTCACAAGGTTCACAGACAGATGCATGTGTCACTGCAACATATGTCCCTGGATGACAGGGTACAGGTTGGGCAGTTCCCTCTGGGCAGAAGTGACCCTCTGGACAGGCTCCCCCTGAACCTCCATCAGTGGGGGAAGGTGTTACAGCGCCACCTGCGCAGTAATATCTGCATGCAAAACATGTAAGACATAATAAAACAAATGAAAAGCAAACGTGTCTCACAGAGTGTGGGTCAGGACCTGAAATGGTGTTCAGCAAAAAAAATAAAAAAGTCAAGATCCTAAAGAGCCTATGTTGAATCTTGAGCTTTTGGAAAAATATAAAAACTAAGGAAAACGTTTGAGTTTGTCCTTCAAGCAACACTGCCCTTTGTCTAAATACCAAGACGTTATATTGATTTAATCTATTTTGGTTTTACCCAGCAGTGCAGGGTCCGGTGGGTTTAGTGAGTCCTGCAGAATCACAGTAAAATCCTCCTGGACAGGGTTTACAGTCCTCGTGACGACGCAGACCTGAGCTGTTCGACCAGCTTCCTTCAGGGCACGATGAAGGAGCAGTGGAGCCTGCAGGAGGAGAAACAAACTCCAACTCATAATTCAACTGCAGCAAACAGAGCAGGAGGCACAAAAAACTGGTAACAGATGACAAGACCGATGCTGTAATTGGGTTTCAAATTCTGGGACAATTTCTTTTGCACGCTGTAAGCAGAATTTAAATGCAGCTTTAGGATGACACAGTCTAACAATGCTGCCTGCAAAAGTCGAACAACTCGGGGCAAAACATAGTGAGACCAAAAGCAGGGTTATTAAAGTATGGGTCGGGAGCCCTGAGTGAACAAGTGGAATGTTGTGGGAACATCCAGCATGATAGTAAATGTTAACTGGCATGAATAAAACATTTCAGCCTCCAGACAACTGAGTAGTTTGAAGGTTCTGACCCACACACAGTATAGAAGTGACTTGATTAGAATGGAGTCAATGAAAAGGCTGCTGATTGGAATGTGGGACATATGCTCTTCATTAGAGACTGAAAAGTTAATAAGGCCGCATTGTGGAGGAGTGGGAAACTCTCTTGCCATACAGTAAGAAGGTAGACCAATAGGTGTCAATGTGAGTGTGAATGGTTTTTGTCTCTGTATAGTAGATTGACAGGCTATCACAGCGCCCTCGTCTGATGACTACTGGAAGTGACTCCAATTCAATAAATGAATATAATCACAATACAAGAGATAAAGAACACATTAATAACCTGAGGGACAGTAATGTCCCGGTGGACACAGTGAACCTGAAAGACCATCTAGAGGACTGGGAGATGAGGCTCCTAGTCTGCACCAATATCCAGCCTGGCATGGGCCTGTTAGTAAAAAAAATAAAAAATAAAGGTACTGTAAGACAGCGGGCCAAGAGAGCGTGTCACTGCAGATGTTCTAAAAGATATAACCAAATGAAGAAAATCAAGTCTCATTTATACTGACTAATTAGATAAGTCTAAGGTGCAGAGGTCTGTCTGTTTTACCTGCTGGCTCTGACAGTCCCTCAGAAGGACAGTACTGTCCAGGCGTGCACTGACTGCAGGCTGCTGAACTGTAGGCATGTTCTCTCTGGTTGAAGGTGCCTACAGGGCAGGGGTATTGGTTGGACAGGGCTGTACCTGCAGGGCAGTAGTGACCAATAGGACAGGGCTTTGGCAAAGAGCCGTTGACTGCACCAGCCCTCGAATCACAGTAGAAACCTTGGAAGAAGAAGAAAACAAAAAATGGTTCTGTTGTTAGGCAGCTTACGAGTCACTTTCCATGCCATCTGTTCAGTAAACAAACAACATGTGGTTAAAAACAGGACGTTAAAACCCAATTAAATAAATATATCCTTTAAATGAAGTGTGTGGTAGAATACTACCTGCTTCACAGATGGTGCAGTTCTCCTGTTCCTCTCTGTTCTGATAGGCTCCAGGTGGGCACGGCTCAGGAGATGCACTGCCATGTGGGCAGAAGTGTCCAGCTGGACAGGGCAGGGCTGTAGCTACAGTTTGACCGGGAGGGCACCAGTAGCCTGTAGGTTTTAGTCTCACTTAGTTGGAGAAACCTCTCTAGTATTTTAGATTGTTCTAATATTTGGGATTAAGAGACAATGGCCTGACCTTTGCTGCACGGTCCAGTGGGAGTCATGAGTCCTGCTTCCAGACAGTAGTGACCAGGAGTACAGGGCTGACATTCAGTCTCATTGGTCAGACCGGTCAGTGAGGAGAAGGTCCCTGCTGGACACAGCTCTGGTTTTTCTGCACCCTCAACTGTGGAGCAAAACAAATTCATTTGTGGATTTTTTTTTACTGCACATGCAGTTCTCAAACTATTGGACACACAGGTGATATTGGGGCTCTCTCTAGTGGTACACCAGGAAATCTCATTGACTTACCATTGACAACTTTTACATATTTCTTTCCTACCCTCTGTGCGTAGTACGTATCATGTGCAGCTATACTTGTGGGAAAATCTACATTAGTAATGTGGACACTTTGTTCTTGTGGGGAAACTGTGTCCTTGTGGGGACACTTTGCATGTCCTAACTGAGTGCAAGGATATTTTAGAATTTAGTTTGGAGTCAGATTAGAATTCAGGTAAGGTTTAAGATTGAACATATATTTGTTAAATTTCTAGTACTTTCTGGTACTATTTGAAAGTGAGGCTGATACCAAGTATGAAAAAAAAACAATACAAAATGACCCAGAGTTAAACCTGAGGGAAATTCAAACTTCATCAGATTCACCAATTATCAATTGTTTCTTTTATATTCCAGTGTGTTGGTTCACAACATTTGTATGTGTTTGGTTGTTTAAAGGACAATAATGAGTAGCAGAACACTTTAAAGTTACAGAATCAGACTGTGTCTCTTTAATAACATTGGCTGCACCTCATAGTAATTGTATATAATTATGTACCAGTTATTTTAGGTTTTGAGCTGAGTTGCAGAAAGCTAAGCCAATGAAATAATTGTATTTTTTTCCCTTTAGTTCAAACCCAATTATGTTGATGTCATTTTGTGGTTTCAGTTGACAAACACTGTACTTTTGTTACCGGCCTTGATGGCCTGGTTCCAGGCCAGTAGAGCCGCTCTCACCACAATATGTCCCAGGTGGACAAATGTTGCCTGTTTCTCCATCTGTGGGCCTGTCCTGAGTGGCTCCTCCAACACAGTAAAAACCAGGGGAGCAGGGACCCACAGGCAGGGCCAGACCTTTGGATAAAAATGAGTCAACTGTAACAGGAAAAACACCACATCTTTTGATGCAGTTGAGGTCAGAGTTTTACAAAAGGGGTGGAAGGGTTTTTTTTTTAATCCTAATAAAAATATTGATTATATGCAGACATGACACGGCACAATAAAGTGGTCGGAACGAATTAAAATTTAAATACATGCTTTAGAGTAGTGGCTGTAGAGTAACTCAGCAATGCACTAGTTCTATATATTTCCTCAAGGAAATTTGATCTTGATCACTTTTAGAAAAATAAAATTATGCCAAGTTTATCAGTGTACCTGAGACATTACAGAAAGCTCCAGGGGGACAAGACACCGGCTCTGAGCTGCCCAGGGGGCAGTAAAATCCTGCTTGGCAGCGCCCTCCTGTGGACGTAGCTGGGCACAGACAGTTAGCGTTTGTGTAATTGTCCAAATCAAAGGGCTGGGAGTTCCAAGCTGCTGACACACAGAACCAACCTGAGAGGGAAAATAAGAAAAAAGACAAATTCGATTCAAATTCTTAAGTTATTCATATGTATGAATTCCTGTTGTGCTTTTATTTTGAAGGTACGTTGAGGATCAATTTTAATATTCTGTTTTTTGTCTTAACTAAAAAGCTGTTCCAAGCGGTAAATTAAATAAAAATGAGCAAAATGAGAGCATTATCAACCGTCCTAAGTATTGTTTGTTGATATCTAGTATTTAATGAATGTAAGGACTCTGTATTTCTATTTTATTTGTTGTTATTTTTAGTTCATTAAAACTGAATAACGCCACTAAGCGTTTCTTCTTTTGTTTGACTGAGAGGTAAGCTTTTGATTTATTTCAAATTTAAAAAACAGTTATTTTTTGAAAATGGCAGAATACAAAGAGAAAAAATGCATTAGTACCAGATCATGGTTCATAAAAAGTAAACATGGCGACTTGATACGTGAACGTGAAGCTAGAAATTAGCCAGGTTACTGACCAGGTGTGCATTTTCCAGACACTTTAGTGAGCCTTTCCTTCTCACAGTAGTGTCCTGGAGGACACGGCAGACAGCTGTCCAGAGTCTGAGTCATTGGTTCTGGATTGTAGTATCCACGAGGACAGGGAAACTGGGTGGCATGCTTGGTCCCTTTATATGACATTGAATAAAGAAGAAAAAGCCTTAATTAGCAATTTCCTTCAAGTTCTTTAGGCAAAATAAATTAGCAATGTGACTATGTACCAGGTGGACAGACTGTAACTAATGTGTGTTACCATCAGGGCAGTAGAATCCAGGAGGACAAGTGAACATGGAGAAGTTTCTGGTCTTTTCCGGACAGTAGTATCCAGCAGGGCAGCTGGAACACAGATACTGGCCTGTGAGATTGGTGTAGGTTCCAGCTGGGCACGGCACGGGGGCCCCACTGCCTTCTGGGCACTGATGAGCTGGTGGGCAGAAAGCCCCAGAGCCTGAAGAAGAAAAGCAATTAATTAGTTCTGGAAAATGATTGAATTAGCTTTGCTAAGCCCTTAATGTGCTAAACCCCGTGCTAAGCCCTGATTAATTCCAAACAATTTCCTTTAAAAAACAAAAACAAATCCTAAGCTTTTATACCACCATCTGTTTATTTCTCATCTGATACAAACACTTCTAGCATTTTTATTTTCTCAATGTCACGTTTGAATGTGTCGCGGTTTATGCCAACCACTAATGAAGAAGAGTAACCACTCAATGTTTTCATAAATTGTACCTGTCGCTGTGGTATCTCCTCCCAGACAATAATATCCTGCCTCACAGAGTCCAGATGGATGAGTGAGACCTGGAGTCGCACAGAAGTGACCCCCAGGACAGGGGACACACTCAACAATGTCCGTCAGATAAAGACTACAAACAAATCCACAAAACATATTAACAGTTATATACCCTCATGAATGTTATACTCTATGAGCTGGTGACTGCATTTGTTTGGCCTATGACCTGTCAGAGTAGGATCCTGGAGGACAAGGTAGGGGGAGACCAGTTCCCTCTGGACAGTACTGTCCCTTTGGACACGCACCACCGATCCCAGTGCTGAAATTGCCATCAGGGTTCTGAAAATTTACACCTTAAAAGATTTTTGGAGGCATCCAGTCATTGAGTGTAGGTGATAACAACCATCAGTTATACTTGTTAATACATGTTTACCTGCTGTGCAATAATAACCAGCCTGACAGGGCCCAGTGGGCTCAAACAGAC